ACGGAACACAAGCAGAGGGAGCAGGAGAGGGAGAAGCAGGCTTCCCGCAGAGCAGGGAGCCCGACGTGGAGCTCGATCCCAGGACCCCGGGATCATGACCTGAGCCGAAGGCAGACGCTTAACGACTGAGCCACCCAGGCGCCCCGGGTAGCATGGACATTTTAACAATATTTGTTCTTCCAACCCGTAAGCATAGGATGTCTTTCCATTTGTTTGTGGTGTCTTCAATTTCTTTCATCCATGTCTTAAAGAGTTTTCAGAGTACAAATCTTTCACCTACCTGCTTAAGTGTTACTCCTAGGTACTTTATTATTTTTGGTGCAAGTGTAAATGGGACAGTTTTCTTAACTTCTCTTTCTGTGGCTAGAAATGCAACGGATTTTATGTCCTGCAACCTTACTGAATTCCTTTATCCGTTCTAGTAGTTTTTTGGTGGTATCTTTAGGGTTTTCGCTATACAGTATCATGTAAAGACTGTATTTTTTAAGAAAGAAAATGCTGAGTGGATTCCTTTCTTTGGAGGCCTGCCAGTGACTTCTCCCTAGCTGATGGCAGTGCAGTTTGCCGAGCAGCAGACTCCAGAGGGGGGCGAGCGGGGCTGCCTCTCCTAGCCTCAGCCACCTCACTTCTGGGCACGACACCCAAGCCTCCAACTGCACCATCAACACCACTCAGCATTTGCAACACTTACCTCCTCTCGAGAAATTAGACCATAGCTTGATAGCAATTTCTATGTCAAATTTAACGGAGTATGAGAATCACTCTTAATTTCCAAAAAGAGGTCACAGGCACTAAACATCCTTAGACTGCTACAGACTGAAGGTCTGTGTCCTCTCAACATTCCTATGTTGACACCTAACCCCCAGAGTGGTGGTTTGGGGGGTGGGGGTGGGGGCCTTTGGTAGGCGAGTAGATGAGGAGGGTAGGGTCCTTGTGAGTGGGATTTGTGCCCTTCCAAGAGCGAGCCCAGATAGCTTCCTCGTGAGGACACAGGGAGAAGAGGCTGCCTATGAACCAGGCAGGCACAGCCCTCGCCAGAGACCTAATCTGCTGGAGCCTTGAGCTTAGACTTCCAGCTTCCAGAACTTTAAGAAATGAACACGTGTGGACTATAAGCGGGCCAGTCTGTGGTATTCTGTGACAGCACCCCGAGCAGACTGAGGTACAGACTTTCTCCCATTCAGAACTAACAACTCATGCACAGAATCCCTGGGTTGGCAGTTTATTGTAAAAAACAACGCCCCAGTTCCCACATCTTCCTCGGCCATCATTTTTCTTAACAGAAGCAGCTATGACAAATCGGGGGTGGGGGGTGGGGGGGATATATTATCTTTGCCAACTGACACATTTGCAGAGGATTCATGAGTAAGGATGATTCAAAAGCTCCTGGTTGTACTCCTGAATCAGGCGAAGAGCAAATGACAATATAAGAACAGATTTTGTTTACAACAATATCATAATACAACGTTGAATCATTACAGTGCAGTGGTTATAATTAAGTTCACAATTGAATATGCGCAGCCCAAACCCCAGACACACTACAATCACCCAACTGCTTACAAACGGGAGGGATCGGTGCAAGCAGCTGCCACGTGAGGAGCAAAAATCAGAATCGGTACGGCTTTGCTGGCAGCGGGGCTCGGCGCCGACAGCCCCCTACTACTCGGGGAGGCCCCGGGCCACCCTCACTTTGAGTCTTGGTCTTTCTTTTCATCCAAAAGGGCCGAGCGGATCCCCAGCTTTTTCAGTTCCTCCACCAGGTCCCCATTCTGGTGCATCTGCAGCAGAATGTCACAGCCCCCCACGAACTCGCCGTTGAGGTACACCTGCGGGATGGTGGGCCAATTGGAATAGTCTTTAATGCCTGTAGGGAAAGAACATTTAGGTGTCATTTAAATGCTCAGAGCTGAACTTTTCGTGACAAAATCTGTTTTCTACCCGCTCCTAGCACAACACCCAGTGTCCCTCCCCTGCGTCCCCCCCATCCTTGGGGAACCACGGGTCTGCCACAGAGTAGGGGGGCTTTAGAGTCAACTGGATCACTGTGTAAACGCTACCTTTTCTGATTACCAACCGTGAGGCCTCCCACAAGTCACTCAACTGCTCACCTGTTTCCACCCCCACCTCCTGAGGTTCTCCTGAGTACCGGGGAGGTGAGGCCCTGCAACGACAGCTGTCAGACCATCAACAGAGACCAATGGCGGACAACCCGACTGGTGGAAGTATGTCACGCCAGAGGTACAAAGCCATAGTCTCCCTTCATCTGCCAGACATGGATTCCGTGAAACAAAACTTAAATGCTAAGACTTCATTTTCAAATGGACTACTTAAGGGGCGCCTGGGTGGCTCAGTCGTTAAGCGTCTGCCTTCGGCTCAGGTCATGGTCCCAGGGTCCTGGGATCGAGCCCCACATCAGGCTCTCTGCTCGGCGGGAAGCCTGCTTCTCCCTCTCCCACTCCCCCTGCTTGTTTCCTCTCTCGCTGTGTCTCTCTGTCAAATAAATAAATAAAATCTTTAAAAAAAAAAAACAAAACAAATGGACTACTTAACATGGGTCCATCACAGTATGTCTGCCAGATGAGGCAGGCCTCACCTCAGGCTTTTCGTGCCTGGCTGGGTTGGTGAACAGCACCAAGATGTTGAGTCACTGGGTTTTATTTTTAATAATCCTCATACCCAGAGGACAATCTCTTTCCTATGGCAGACTGCAGCCCTCACCCTATTCAGCCCCACGGGTGGGCTCTCCGTGGGGCAGGCTGATTTGGCTTAGCACAGAACTTGCAGGGACTGAGTCAAAGCAAGGAAAGGCCCGAAGCTCGGTTAAGGCCCATGTCCTGGGCCAGGTGCAGGGCCATGGGGTGAGAGAGACCCCCTCCCTGTTCTCAAGAGCTCAGAGCAACCAAACAGCATTCATGTGATTGGTCCCGTGTGCGAAACGTTCTGAGGACACACAGAGATGAGGCGCCTCCTAGGACAGGGCAGCCACATGATTGTTCTGTTCAGTTCTGGACCATGGGGCTGATGGTCTTAACAAAACAGTAGGAAGAAAATGTGGTTTCAGTCTTAAGACAAAAGATTACTCTTTCCTCATGTTCTTCCACACCATTCCACCTCCTTTCTACAGATGAGAGACACTTTTAAAAATATATCCATCCATCCATAAAACATCTGTGTTGGTCCTATTAAAAACAGAGGATGATCAAAATCATGACATATGACAATTAATCACTATAGATCATAGTTGCTATTTTTATACTTCTACAGATAGGTAGGTATTTTTAAGTGGCCAAAATAAGCAGACAAAATAAAACAGAAAAGTCAACAGATTCTTCAAACAAAATACAATACTATGCAAATTAGAAATGGCTCAAGTGGTGGTTTTCATGTAAACAAACTAAAAATACAAAAACTGGTCCTTGATACCCTATCACTTATTATCAAACATTTATTTTCTAAATAAAATCACCAATGACTCATAGGACTCAATCACAAGTCCTAAGATGCAATGTGTTTTCTCTTTTAAAAGTCACTACCTTCTAAAAAAACAATGACTTTGTTCTAAACCAGAACACTAGAGAAGGCCCCCCCCAAAAGAGGGCTTTATCTTTCTCCTCCAGACTTCCCCTATGGAGAAAGGGCTACAATATCGTAGGCCCCAAAAAGCATTTTTTTTTTAGGTGTAATTGACATATGACATTATATTATTCCAGGTCTATAACATAATGATTTGATATTTGCATATATTACAAAATGATCACTACAGTAAGTCTAGTTACCATCCATCACCATACGCAGTGACAAAGGTTTCTTCTTGTGATGAGAACTTTTGAGATCTATTTTCTTAAAAACTTTCAAATATGCAATACAGTATTATTAACTATAGTCACCATGCTGTACACTACAACCCCAGAAAAGCACACTTTCTAAGCCACTTTGGATGTCTTACAAAAAAAAAAAATCAGCTAGAGGTATGGGGGTTACTAATAAAGGGAAAATTCCATTAACCATCAGAATATCTTTATAATACCAAATATCTAGATATATTAGAATATCTTGATCAAGTTTTTCATCCTGAATCCTGATATTTGATGTTACATAGATGACTCAGCATTTAAGTTTTTTATATATATATATTTAAAAGCTCTATCCTCAAATAAGTTTATCAGAACTTATTCCACAACAAAGCCAGTTATAAATCTTTTTGACTGAGAGTGGGGGTGGGAATTAAGGCATGTTTAAAGTAAGTATGAATTTCTTTTAATTCTTTGAAACTTCCTCAAATATCTTCCATATTGTGTGCATGAACCATTTATGTGCATGGTTTTATATCTGGGTCTTTTTCAATTAGTAATACATTGCGTTAAGCCTTCCAAGACAATGAGTATCTATGGATTCTTTCAGTGAGTGCCTCCAGTTTTTGAAACACCCCAAATATGAAAATAAATTTGCCATCTGAGGTTCACCCCAAACGACACACATCCAATCCTACCAAGTAGTTTTTTTAAATAAAATCTTTGCAAAGCAGAAGAATACGTTGCTCTCGTCAACCATGTTTACGGTACCACACTCAGTCAAAGCTTCAGGCTCGTCTCGTTCATGAAGCTTCACCTTGCTACAGGTCACATGTCCAGACTGGAGGGAAGAGGATGTGCGCCGCCAGGATCCACTGTTACATTAAAACTACCAAACAAGTGGGCTTTCCAACCATCCTGAACATCTGACACATACAGGCACAAGCAGGGGACACAGACTCCTTCTAGACCCTGGGGCCAGGCTCTCTTGCCGAATAACTTGTAACAAGAACTCAGGAGAACCGGCCTCCAAGCCCATGATGGCACTGTGACAGAGGCCATGGTGCCTACTGGCTGATAAGTTTATCAAACGTAAACTTACCTGCTTCTTCGGTTTTAGGGTAACAAGCTTCACAGGCAGCTGGTATCAAGGCAAAGAGCTTTGACCTCGTCAAAAAAAATACTGGTTTCCATTTTTTAGAAGTCCGATGACAGGTTTAAATATTTAAAGACATAGCCAAGTGATTCCTACAGCATGAAGCAAGTAACTTCCAATAATAAAAGACCACTGTTCATAAGTTGAAAATGAAAATGAATCCTGTCAATTCACATATTAATTGTTTAGACACAGCTAATTTCTCTCACTTTTTAATTTTCAAAAACTGCAACATACAGCGATAGTTCTTACAAATTTCACTCCGAATAATTCAGAATCAGAGAGAGAAACTCTTAAAAATTAGGGAATGATATCCAAAAATGGATTTTAATGGTAATCATATTTTACAGATGACAGATGACAATGATTCAATTTGGAACAAAAAATATTGACTGCTAAGTTATGTAACAGGGTAATAAGAGGAACTGGGAGTAAGAAAGGAGGCAGTCTTATAAAATCAGTCTACAGATACCTACTGCCCCACCAAAAAAATGAATATTCCAAAGCATCAAATCAGAGGGGGGGGGGGAGGTATTAGAAAGTTCCCTTCCAAAACTTTCAAAAGGGACTTTTCAAAATTCATCACATTTCAGAACATTAGACTTTGTTCCCAGTTTGGACAACAAATTATAGGAGCACCATAATTATAGTTTTCTTTTTTTCTTGGTAGATTTTCACCATAGGAGGAGCTTCCCATTCTGATGCAGATTAATTCTGCCTTGGGCAAGTCACTTCCCCTCCTCTAGCTTCCTAGCACAGAGAATGACGTCAGTACCACAGGAGATCATCGGAGCTGAGAGCAAGGGAAGGGGCCAGTGACAGAGTGAACAGGGCACCCGCTTAGGGTCAGCCGGCTTTGGCCTGCCGGCTTGTAAATGCAGCATCAGATAAATCTGCTAATCTCTTAGCCTCAGTTTCCCTACCCTTGAAGTGGGAATAACTATACGCCTCATGGATTTAACATGAAGATGAAATGAGTGAAGGGATTAAACTCCCACAGTTCCAGGTACAAGGTGGATATTCTCTCCACCACGATGTCCCCTACACCACCCTTCAGGCATGCTCCTCTGAGAAATACACGCAGTGGGGAAGAATAAAGGAAAAATACCACTCAGGTATGCCGTGCAGCATGAAAATACTCATTTGCTGAGCTAAGGGTTACTCAATTTCATACTCTTAAGTATTTTACATATACAACCTCACTTAACCTTTGCAAAAATCCTACAGGGAGTGCATAATTATCTCTATTTTACAGATGAAGAAACCAAGGCTCAGGGAGGGTATTTGACCAAAGTCACAGTGCTGGCAAATGGTGGAGCCTGGATTTCCATCCAGGTTTCTGGGAGTCTGAAGGCCAGGTTCTAGACCGGCAGAGGTGGCCTCTGGCTTGTGGCTGGCATGTCACCCCTGCCCATGAACTACACTCGCACTGCATGTGTATCCACAACACGTGGGACTGTTTCACACCTTTAACACAAACGGAATTGTGCCATAGTTACCTTTTTTGCAATTTATTTCATGACTAAACATTGTATTCTTTGAGATACAGTCACATGGAATCCATCTAGATCTAGTTAGTTTTGGCCACAACTTCGTTTTCCACCACATGACTACACTACAGTTTGTTCATCCAGTCTGCTAATAGACCAAGATCCTCTCTTGCCAATTTTTCATTATTACAAGCAATGCGTCCATGAATACCCTTTTATCTGTCTTCTAACTCAAATACAGGGGGTCTTCCTCTGGAGAAAGGGGTGGCAAACTATGGCCATTGGGCCATATGTGGTCCACTTCCTGTTTTTGTAAATAAAGTTTTATTGGGACTCGGCCACACCCATCCATTTACGTACCTTCTGACTACTTTCACGCCACAACAGCAGAGTGGAATCCACACAGACTGAAGTATCTACTCTCTGGCCTTTGACAAAGGAAGTCTGCCAACCCCCACTCTAGACCGTATACCCAGGAGTAAAGCAGCTGGGTCTTCAGCTACGTTCACCTTCAACCCGATCCGGTACTGACAGTTACTCCTCCAAAGCGTTAGTACCCTTTTATACTCTCATCTGCAGCATGTAACACATCCGCCACACCAGCCCAGAAACACCACTTGTTAATCTGACTTCTAACATTTGCCAGTGTCATAGATTTGTTTCTGTTGCCTTAAACTCCCTGATACTGAAAAGGCCGCGCACATTTTCAAATGCTTAATAAACATTCAACAATAGGATAATGGCTATTCATTCAACAGACACTGCTTTTGATGCAAGGAACACAATGGTGATCTGAAGAGGCAGAAATTTAAGAGTGTTTATGTTTTTAAGAGCATGGAACAGAGTTGATGATATGACAAATAATAGTATTTACTTATTCATTATAACAATCATTGAGGGGCACCTGGATGGATCAGTCAGTTAAGCATCTGACTGGTTAAGTGTCTGACTCTTGGTTTCAGCTCAGGTCATGACCTCAGGGTCCTGGGATTGAGCCCCGTATCAGGCTCTGCACTGGGTGAGGAGCCTGCTTAGCATTCTCTCTCCCTCTGCCCCTCCCCCCGTCATGTGCACATGCGCACTCGCTCTCTCTCAAAATAAATAAAATCTTTTAAAACAAAATCATGGAAAGCTCGCTCTGCATAAGCAATACACAAGGTACTCAGGCAGTGGCATAAGACATGTTCCCTGCTCTCGGGAGGGAAAATACTATGCCCAGATACGCATGATCTCAAATGCATTTTTTTAAAAAAACGATTAGAAGCTAGATCCAAATGTTAATAATGGTGGATATGGAATTACAGGTAATTTCCCTTTTCTTTATTACCTTCAGTGTTTCCAAGTTTCTTCAATGAGCGTGTTACATTTACAACAGAGAAATGAAAGAGATTCTTTGTTAGGCCAGGATTAGGATATGCTGACATCTGTCTACTGGGACCCAGTCCCTCTGTGGCCACCTTCTGTGTGTCTTCCAGATCAACAGGAAAAAGAAAAGACCTGAGAAAGACCTCACAGTCATCTTTGTTCCCTGGGTCACAGGCTGAGACCTCTCTGCATCACACGTCAGGGACAAGAAGACAGCGTCTGCGGGTGTTCCTCGGGCTTCAGGCCCTTCGTAAAGCTCTGACACAAGAAAAAAGGAAAGGCAATTTTGCAGGAGCCCCTCTCCAGTTACAAGCAGTGACCTTGGGTCTGGGAAAGGTGCACAGATGTATCTGTGGCTACCAAAAGCAAGCATCGGACAGCCTATCAGCTTCTCTCGGTAAAACTCAAGGGTGCAGAGAGCAAAGAGATGAAGAGTCGTCGTGTTTCTATAAAGTCTTACCCTGACTAAACTAATCCCCACTATGGGAACGTGCTCACACCACCCTGCCCCAGTCTGAAGGTCAATACTTGCATGCATGTTTATTTTGGTAAGCCACCAAAGAGGTGTGTGTTATGTCCAATATATATGCAACATATTTATTGACCAAGATAATAATCTGGTATGAAACAGACTGGGAATGAAAATGATGAAACTCAACGCTCAAGAAATTTAAGGGCGAAATTCCTGCTGCTGTTGCTTAAACACCTGAACGTGAGACTGGAAACCAGACGCATGACACGCATGACACGCAAGACAGGGACCTAAGTGCTATGAGTAAACCTTCTTACTTCTGCTCCTACTTTCTTCTTATATTCCAGTATACCCCATGTCCAGTTATGTTAAACGGGAGAACATGGGGTGCCTGGGTGGCTCAGTCGCTCAGGTCACGATCTCAGGGTTGTAGGATCAAGCCCTGAGTCAGGCTCCTCACTCAGTGGGAGTCTACTTGAGAATTCTCTCTCTCCCTCTCTCTCTGCCCCCTCCCCACTGCTCGCTCGCTCGCTCTCTCTCTCAAATAAATAATAAATAAATCTTTAAAAAAGAAAAGACTGGTGGTGTGAGTTGAATTGTGCCCCCTAAGAAGATATGTTCAGGTCCTAATTTCTCTTCCTCCCACCCCTCCCCTCTGTGCTCTCTCTCTCTCTCTAAAATAAATAAATAAATCCTAAAAAAAAAAATTAAGAAAAAAATAAACAGAACAGAAACCACAAACCAAAGACCCTCAAAACCTTATACTAAGCAAGCTGTCAATGATGCGACTTTTTATTAACAGTCCTACCAGACATTTGCAGGGTACCTGTGGTAAGGTCCCCGCAGAAAGACTGCAGAGTAGTTTCCCCTATCTTATCTTTTCTTTTTAAATTTTTATTGTTATGTTAATCACCATACATTACATCATTAGTTTTTGATACAGTGTTCCATGATTCATTGTGCATAACACCCAGTGCTCCATGCAGAACGTGCCCTCCTCAATACCCACCACCAGGCTAACCCATCCTCCCACCCCCCTCCCCTCGAGAACCCTCAGTTTGTTTTTCAGAGTCCATCGTCTCTCATGGTTCGTCTCCCCCTCCAATTTCCCCCCTTTCATTCTTCCCCTCCTGCTATCTTCTTCTTTTTTTTTTTTTTCTTAACATATATTGCATTATTTGTTTCAGAGGTACAGATCTGGGATTCAACAGTCTTGCACAATTAACAGCACTCACCATAGCACATACCCTCCCCACCGCTATCTTATCTTTGAAGCAGAGCAGCCTGCTGCTGGGTGAAGACTGCAGCTCCCCCCCCCACCCCCGTATGTGTGTGTGAAAAACACCCCAGGGCCTAGCAACACTCTAGATACCTGGTGCCTAGTGGCACTCGAGCAGGAAACAACAAACAGGATTAGGAGCCTAATACAGGGCAATATCACACATAGCTGGTAACGTTAACCTGCCTTCCCTCCTCCTAGTTTCCACCCACCAAAACCCAAGAGTTTCCCAGGGATTAATCTGGGGAAAAAAATACTGACTCTGAGAACCACAGATTCCAAGTGATAAAAAGGCTCCTATTGAGTGGTGCCTTCTGCGTTCCAGATGAAATGATGGGCACTTTCTAAAAAGTTTTACCTTCTCTATTTTTCCTCATAAAACTTTTGTCAAGTTTGGTTTCCTTATCTTCCTATTACCGAAAAGGAAAATGCAGTAATGTGACTTGTTTAAGGTTGCACAGTTGATTGGCTGCAGCCAGGTTCCAGCCCCAAGCCTTCCCACCACACCAGCCTGTCTGGAGGGAGGACTAGGACTATCATTCCAACCGGAGAACAACAGTCCTAAGTACGTAATAACAAACTGTGGAATTCTAAATGTAGAGTAACGGGGAACCTGGTGCCTGGTAAAACTGTTTTTAGAACACTGTAACTAAAGAATAGCACTAGGCTCAGGGAGATAGATGCCAGGACTCGGTCACTGGAGGTCTCTAACTGGAATGCAGGATACTAAGCCGCCCGCTAGGAGGTACACGCACAGCCTCCCCATTTCTCCACCAACTCTGACCAAGGAAGGACGCTCGCCAAGGAGCAGATCCATGTACTCCACTGGCCCTGTCCTCCTCCCCCACTGAGATACATGTAAGGTTTCTGGCACGGTGCTCAGCATAAAAGGTACTATTAGCTGTCAGGGCCCTCCCTCCTCCCCATGAGCCAGCGACAAGCCACAGGACCTGCTGCATCTGGCCCCACACCCTGATTGGCCCCAGGTTCCTTGAGCTCCACCCTTGAGTTAGCTAAGGCCCAGGGGTCATTCTTCATCCCTCTCCCCACAAGCCTCTCCAAGCCCTAGCCCCCACCCCCCCCCCAATCCGGCCCTGTCCTCGAGTATCTAAAAACAAAGTTCATGTCTTTTTCTTCAACACCAAGTGATCCCCACTAAGACCAGTCCAAAAGCTGTGTCCACCCCCTCTTCGCAGCAACAACATAGGATGGTTCCTGACACCCCCAGCCCTGAGGCACCAGGCTAGTCTCTGACCCCACCAGCCTCTGACAAGGGCAACTTCGGCCCTCCGTCTACCATCAACAGCACCAGCTCCTTACCACGAGACAGGCCAATCCCTCAACGTGTCCCCCAAAGTGCCTACCTTAGTGGTTCTTACCGTATCCCTTCCCACCACTTCCCTCGGACCGAGCCTGAGCGATCTGGCCCCAAAAGGCCTCTCTCGGCTCAGCGTGGGGACCGGTGAAGAGCTAGGACTTACCCAATGCCCAAGTTGGCAAGAGCACCAGATGCCCAGATCCTCAGGACCCACTTCACGTCAATCATGCCCCCACCCGACCCCGAATACAGAGCAGTAGCCCGTGCCCCGACCCGCTCGAACCCCCCCCCCCCCCCAGAGCTTGCGCGGCTCACCCCAGCCCCGCCGAGCGGCCTCGGCCCGTCGCCCCTCACCCGGAGGGCCCTGACCTTGCCGGAGCTGGGGGTCGTCCAGCACGTTGTAGGCCGCGTAGTTGCGGACGCCGTGCAGCCGCAGGATCTGCACCACCGCGTTGCTGAAGCCGCACTGGGGCTGCTCCGGAGTCCCCTTGAGGAAGACCACCACCTTGTCCTTCTTCACCAGGGCGTCCAGTTGCTCCGCCGAGCTGCCCCCGCCGCCGCCCGAGCCCGCCGTCCGCACGCCTGGGCCCCGCAGACCGCCGCCGCCCGCACCGCGCCCCCAGCGGAGCAGAGCCGCCGCCGCCCGGCTCAGGGATCCGCTCATCCCCGCACGTCCGCCGGACCCCTCGTCGGCCCGGGACCTCGGCTCGGCCCCCCCACGCCCCCGCCCCGTAGCCTTCCCCGGGCCCGCGGCAGCTCGGCCCGCCCCCCGGAGGATCTCATTGGGCTGGCTCCGAACTTCTCCCCGTGATTGGACAACGCTAGCCCGCACTTACTCGATTCTACCAATCATATGGCTCGTCCGGCCCCCGACAGTTGGAGGCGGTCCTTAAACTTAAGCCGCATCCTACAGCTTACTATTGGCCGCTGGCAATCGCTTTGTCAGTTGATTGGAGAGAGTGAATGTCCATCAGCGTCACGCTCCGATGCAAGGAGAGGCGAGACGAGGGGGAAGACGACTTCCCTCCGGAGGGTAGACGGGCCTGCTGGGATACTCCCGGATGACTGGGGGAGGCAGTGGGCGGGTTTCGGCCTTCCGCGGAACGCCGGGAAGGGGTCACTTCCAGGCGACGGTTCCGGTTCCGGTGTAGGCGGTGGTTGAGTTGCCGTGGCAACGCGGTAGCCGGGCGCCGAGTTCCTGCATCAGGGGCGGCGGCGGGGCTGGAGTCGGCCCGGGTCCGCCTTTGCAGCCTAGGTGAGCGATCCCGGCGCCTCCGTAAGGCCGCGGCCGGAAGCGGCCGTTCGTGGCAGGGACGGGCCGGGGCCGGGCTCTCGCGGCCGGGACTCCCGCGTCAAGGCGGGGACCACGTGTCGGCCGTCCGTCGGCCCCGCCGCCCGCGTGGGAGCAGAGGCCCACACCCGGCCCCAGGGCTTCCGTCTCCAGCGCACGATTATTTCTCCAAAACAACTATTATTTAAAAAGTGTGTAAGATTCCCTTGTTTGCGTGGTCCCCTCCGGGTTTGGGGCTTCGTGGACTTTGCAGCCCACTTAAGTCCTTTGGCCTATGGCCCAGGAAAGCTTTGTTGAATGGGGAGCTAAGAGGGAACTGGTTCGCTGGACAGACGTTCCCTGGGCTGCTGCTGCGTGGCGGGCACGGTGCCAGCGCGGGATGTCCAGAGAGACTGGGTGCCCAAAGCTGGTCGTCAGCGGGGGAACTGAGAAGCAGGTACAAAGGAGGGCTCACTGCTTTCTCTGTTCTCCATTGTGCGCAGTGCACCTTGACATGCAGTCGTTAGCTGGTTTATTGAGTTCCCTCCCGGGCGCTGGAATTAACTCGCTGCTGCATCCTCAGTACCCAGAGCAGTGCTTGGGACCGGGCAGGTGTGCCTGTTGGTGGAATGAACAGTTGCGGAAGATCGGGACTCGAGTGAAATCCATCTGTAGTCTTGGAGCCGTGCTGGGTTGGTGGTACCCTGGGGCACACCAGACTTGCAGAAAAAGCATACTCCGGAGGAAGCTGAGGCATGACTGCTCAAGAGCCAGCGGTTCTATGTGCAATTTTCCTCTGATAGTCCTGGGTACTGTTGCCACGGTGATAACGACTGCGCCATGTCGTTATCTATCGACCAACAGTAAGAGAAGCTTTGCAGTCGAGATATTGTTTAACAGACGGAGTGGTTTCTGTTGGACACTAAGTACTGCTACAGGTTACTTTTAAAAAACAAAAGCCTTAAGTATTTTAAAAATTGTTGCTGGAGGTGACGGGCTTTTGTTTCCGCGGTTCTCAGATTTAAAACCAGAAAATTAGTAGGGATGCTGTTAGCAAGTACTCTTGCAAGTAATCATTCAGCATGAAACTTGAACCTTAGTAGACTGAGAATAAATTCAAGATACTACTCAGAAGTGTTCCTCAGTGACCTATTTATTTCATCCTCATTGATGCTATGGCTGGGTGATAGTTTTCTAATGGGGGACCCAAAATTGATCAGCTCCTTACAGAATCCTTTTTTTTCTCCCCCAGATTCATGGATTCCAGGTAAATCAGAGGAACAGAAATATATAGGAAGTGTGGGGGTGCTGAAGCCCAGGCGTTCCAGAAGACCTGCGTCTGGTGCACTTACATTAGAGAATAGATTATTTCCCAAATCACCTCATTTTCCCTCAGGCTTATGTTATAGTAACTTTGGGTTGGTTTGTTTGTTTTTAAATAAATGTTGGTAATTTGTTCCTGAAAATCTCCAGCTGTTCATTGCCTACTCTAAACTGTCTGATCTGTTTTTGTATTGACTGGAATAGAGAGAAGAGCCCACAGACTTATATTCTGAAGAGGCAGAGACGTAGGACAGTGACGGGGAGTGGTGTATCTCTTCCCTAGTGTGTAACGACGGTTTGGAAGCCAAGTTGTCTTTCTTAGTTATCAGACATTTTATTAAATTGAGAATAGAGCTGTCGTTAGAGATTACGAGTAAACCTTGAGCAGGAAGAATACGGAGCCTGTGTTCTTCAAACCTACAGTAAGTAGAGTTGCTGTGTGCGGTAGAGACTAAGAACATAGGTGAAACCTCAGGATTTAGGAAAGCCTGTCTGTGCTCCTTGAGGACGCTCAGTGGCTGGCTTTGATAGCATGATCGAAGGCAGGAAGATAAATCAGGTAGCTAAACCAAAGAACTTAAAACTATAGATCTAAATTTTAAGTTTTTACTAAAGCAACCAAAAATATAAAATACTATGTATGTTGAACATATTCTTTTCTGTATTTAATTTAAAAGCCACTCTTGGAGTACTGGCACCAAACATGATTAAAAGCACCTGGGTGGCTCAGTCAGTTGAGCGTCCGACTCCTGATTTCGGCTTGGGTCAGGATCTCAGGGTCGTGAGATCAAGCCCCATGTTGGGCTCTACTCAGAGTCTGCCTGAGATTCTCTCTCTGTCCCTCCCCCTGTTCATGCACACTCTAAATAAAGAAAGAAAGAAGTGGAAAAAATGGTGTTCAAAATATTTCTCCCAAAGCATCAAACTCTTATGTATAATTTGGCATTTTAGTTTTGAGGTTTCTCTTTAGAAATTCTATTATGACTGAATCACTATGTTGCATACCTGAACCTAATATAACGCTGTGAGTTAACTATACTGGAATTAAAAGAGAAAAAAAATTCTATAATGAAAATGTGACAAAAATAGACTTCTTAAACAGTTGTCAGAAATCTGCACTTAAACTCCAATGTATTTGGGTGTTGAACACAGAAGTCAATAGTCATTATCAGTTTGTGATCTCTCCCACCTGGACATTAGTGAGAAGGTAGGGCTGGGAAGTACACAGAAACTTCCTGGATCCTGGGATTTGGATCACAAAGTGTAATTAGATCGCAAACTAAATAACCATGCCATGAATAAACATGCTGACTCAAGCATCCTAAAAATGTTTTTCTCCCTGTGCTTATTTATAGATAAGGTTTTACTATATACCCACCCCTCCAAAAGCAAATTCATCATTGAACCTATGGTTAAAAACCTTACAAGTGTGAGATTCTTCCTATATATCAGCCCTCAATGAAGAGTCAGGATTACTGAGCCCAAGAGGATCCATTATTTGAACACTCAGGATTATATGTGTCCATACCCTGACTTCAGTCTTGAAATCCCTGCTTCATTCCTGCAAAGAGGGTGTATTTCTGTGCTTCTCATACATGATACAGACATGGGAGGCCTGAGCTGGCCAGAGCATTCTCTTAAGTGTCATTTTAAGAGAAAAGTGGCTGCTTGGACTGCGCCGGGGGTTGAGCCACCCAACATTCCTGAGCTAAAATAACATTTGAGACCCAGAGTTCCATAGCCGTGAGCCGGAACTTGAACCCTTTTCTCAGTGGTGCCCTTAGCTATTATCCAGTAATTTTAGAGCATCACCACAATCATGGAATTAGCTTGATTCCCCAGCTCCCCTAAAAATAGTGTAACGTGTGAGAAACCAAGGCAATGCCCAGCCCCCTGAGAGCATTTTTGCCAATCCGTCATGCCAACATAGAAATGCCTTTTGGATTCTTACTTCCTCTCTGACGAGACAGCTGGTTTTCTAAATACTCCTCTGGCCATGGGAGAGGCTTCAGTCGTGCTAATCTCTCTTCCACCTCACGTGGGCTCGGCCTAGAGACAGGAAGGCAGGCCTCATCAGGGCCCCTTCCCATGGGTCCCGCTCTCCTCCTCTGGGTGAAATGAAGAGGAATGGTGTGCTGTAAACTGGGGTAGCTGAGCCTAGACAGACATTGGGAGATGCAGCTGAAGAAGCATTTATGAGAAGCCTGGACGCCACAGCAGTACCTGATTCTGTCCTGGGATTTGGATGGCAGAGGTGTGAGGCCTGGGTTCTAGTGCTGACATCACTTAGACTTATCAGTTCCTTCTCTTGGGGATTTTCCACCCCTCCTCTCTTCCGCTTCCTGGGTTTGTGAAAACTGTGTTTGTGATGTCTGCAAAAGTTTATGTCTATTCCAAGATGTCTTTATATGAGGGCTGCAGAGTTTTAAGAAACCCATTTATACTCCTTTCTGCTCCTAAACAATTACCCCCCAAATAATTCCATCTTGCATGTGCAGCATCCCATTGTGTTCTTGTACATGAACTCATTTGAACCTTTCATTAACTCCAGTGGTCCCCAAATTATGTTCTCTCTCCAGCATTTGTTTATAACATCTTTTGGCAGACCGAGCACTTTGGGTTCCTCTATGTGTTGTGTTGCCTTCAAAGCACTTTTTTTTTCTGCTGAATCACCAGCAAGTCCTGCAGAAAATCAAATATTCCTGAATTATCTTCGCTGTGTGTGTATCTATTGGATACAGATGTGATCTGTAGACTCTCTGAAACTAAAATGGCAACAGTTTCAGCCCAAAAATCCCCAGAAAAAAATATCAACATAGCTTTTCACTTCGGAAGCTCTGTGGTCCTTTGTCCCCATGCTGCTTTTCTGCATTAAGGCTCGAACTCTGCTGTAGGCCTTTAAAATCAGGCATGTGCTGGACTATGCTCTATTGAGAACCTCATTTTATTCAGAGGAAAAGAACCCCAATCAAAACCTCCTAAAATATTAAGAAGTAAGTGGTAATCAGAAACCATGTGAAGACTCGATTAAATGTGATAAAATAGTTGATTTTTCCTCAACTGTCTGTTTAATGAAATTTTTCATGTTTTACATTATGTGTGTGTGTTTGTTTGTTTGTTTTTGCCAGCAGATAGTTTCCATAG